CATGATTAATCAGCACAGAGAAAAGGACAGATTGCTCAGGCTTTTCATTGCAAACTGCAGTACATTTTGAAAAACTGTCTGCAAATTAATAATGATGTAGAAGTAAAACTTATGGGAAACTATATTTAATTTATTTTTACATTCCCTCCCCCCCACCTTTAATGATTATTGAACAGAAATTAAAAACATAAAATAACATCACAATAAATACATATCAGCAGCAAAGGTGAAAACAGTTAATAATTATCCTGATTTTTGCTCCAACGCAAAATTCCATAAAATCGAAGTCTTGCAATTTTATTGAGTATCTAATAGGCACAGATTATGTATCAATAACTACAGTGAAAAATAATAAATTCTTCCTTAATTTGAAGAAAATAGTACACACACATACACACACACACACACCAATACCCATGAATAAGAAGCCTTGCTATTGTTTTGCTGTCTTTTTTCTTTAGTTTCTTTCTTTCTTTGGTTTAAATAAATAAAGGCCAAAAACAAGCAAAGTAAATTTTGCCAAACATGATACTTCCAGGAAGTTAATGAAATGTCTTCCTGAATTCCTTCTCCTTCAAAGAATGAAGGAAAGTTGTAGCAAAATGAAGGGAATAGGAAGCTGGTGACAGAAGTGTCAACACCCAGTCAACATCTAAAGCTGTCTCCATGGGATCTTCACCCTCATATCTGGTCTTCTTGAACCCTGGAATCTCCAGGTGGGCTCTTCCCCAGTGAAAATCTTCTGCCCAGGTAAAAAGTTACATATTCACCATTTGTTTTCAAATGGGAAGGTGTTTCTCTCACTTGGAATCTGGATAGGACACTACAAGGACTCTCTCTTCCCCAGGAATCAGAATTTAAAGAATTGCTTCAAAATTTTCCTTTCAACCAGGGCTACCTAGCCCAAGTGATTTTGGAGTACATGGTGCTGGATTACATACTCATAGCTAGAGAAATCAAGAATATAATTTTTATTTTTAATAAAAGCAATGAATCAGACTAAAAATTTAATGGCAACCAATTAACAAGGCTGACATCTGCATTTCAAACCTAGAACTCAACAATATGCTATATACTGACAGACATAGAAAAACAAAGATTAGAGCAAAGGTAGAATATCATCCAACTGAGCATCTTGTACTGAACACAAATTTCAAAATTCCTCACATTACTAAATTGAATATTCTTTCCCAGCTTTATATTCACTGGTTCCTACCCTTCTAGAGTTTCGTAGGCAATGGGCCTGAATCCTTAGATCCAGTCACATGGAATCTCTTCAGATATCTGCTTTACCGGGAGGCCCTCAGCCAAAAAGCTAGAGAAATAAAAATTCCTAACTTCTCCTACCCTTGAATCCCTACTCAGTAAATTACCAGGAGATGACTCCGAATTATTTTTTTTAATCAACAAGAAATTCATGAAAGGATTAGCAATACTCTCAGCTGCAGCACACGAAATGATGACATGATGTGCATAATGATATAATGGCACTATCCTCTACAAATGGAGAATTTTATCTTAGTGGATAGATTTTTAAAAATGGAATAAATCTTCCAATCATTTCATATGCCAATTCAAGGGAGTTCGCTGTCTCCTGTAATCCTGCCACAAATAAGGCAATGACAACTGTATACCTCCTGAATGATATAAAAATATTAGAAAAATGTGGCTTTGATATTGTTAACAGATATATATTGAGTCTTTGGAGACAAGGACCTCAATTCATGGGATTATGAGATTTATATAACAATTATTCTAATAGTCTCACAAATCGTGGAAGAATCCAATATCTTAGCTAGATACAGATACTAAGATTTTGATGGCTACTCTGACATGCAGATTATAGAAGGTATTACTATCCATAATTCATGCAGCATAATCTGGATTTATAAAATGATGTGAAATACCTGATAACATTATATTTTAATTACCATTATATTTTACCATTATATTTTAATTAACAATGAAACAGGTGTAAAGACTTTCTTAGATGTGAAGAAAATCTCTGAGATAGTGGTGTAAATTAGATTTTTTTATCATTATGGGGAAAATATCTATCAAAAGTTATTACTTAGATACATTTATTATCTAATCCTTCTGCTCAGATGATTATCAATGGATTTCTGCAGTTAATTCCTTCAGCAACTTGTTGCAATTCTTCCAAGAAATGTCTAGGATTGTGAGAAAAGCACACCTAATATGTCACATAGATTCTATCATGAAAATACAGCAAATCAATGGTGGGATTCAAACATTTTTACTACCAGTTCTGTGTGTGTGATGTGGCTTGGTGGGTGTGGCTTGGTGGACATGGCAGGGGATGGATACTGTAAAATCTCCATTCCCATCCCACTCCAGGGGAAGGATACTGCAAAATATCCATTCTCTCCCCACCCCACTAACCTGCTTTCCATCTCCGTTCTCCTGTGCAGGGCAACAAAAGAAGACCCAGCCGATCAGCTGAGACTCAGGAGGCAGAGAATAGACGGGGGCAAGGCCAGTCAGAGGTGGTATTCCAAACTATTCAAAATTTCTGCTACCGGTTCTCCAGAACTGGTCAGAACCTGCTGAATACCACCTCGGCAGCAAAGAGCATGTAACTATGAAAGCTATAAATAGTTAAAACTTAACTGTGCCTGCATCCCGTAAATAGTTCTAACAACCACTTTTAAAACTGCATGTGTTGCTTGTAGTGGTTTGTTTATGCATTTATTTTGAAGAAATTATCCACTTCCATTGGTACTCCAGATACCTAAAAAGTTATTTACAAAACATGCTCAATCCAACCAACAATAAATACAAAGCAGTACAGTGTTCACTGGAGCCATAAAATTAATACAAGTAAAAGGAGATCTGTTATAAATTAATCCTTTTAAGCCACATTGTTAATAGTCTTAGGATAACTCAAAGCTGACAAGACTTGCCTTTTGTTTCAACAAATGTATGGGTACATTTTTTGTTTAAAGAACCAGACATAGTTCCCCCCCCCTTACAATTAATATTACAATAAGTTATGCTTTTTACTCTTCCTTAATAAAGCACATGGTGTGACTTAACAAGCAGTTCTAAAAATCAAGTTTTCCTGGTTCCAGAAAATTAAAGTTAGGAACAAAATGTTATTATGCAGAAGCAAATGTGTCACTAATTTAATTTAATCCATTTAAGAACAATTAATAGAATAAAAGAACTAAAGGAAAAAGAAAAAGCTGCTGACATTTGTAAAATGCAAACAGTTCACATGCCAATAGGTAAGACTCAGATGTTTATCAAGATGTAAATTCTCATTCTCAAAAGACTGAGGGAAAATAAGTTACTTGTACTCAATAGAGGATCAAATAATCGCGGATATATTTGCATGTGTCAAGCAGAAAGCAAAATTAGCAATTCACTATTTGAGAAATTCATTTCAAAATGAATTTGTGGAAGTAACAATATCAGCATACTAAACAGATGAATATCACCAAAGGATAGGTTGCAACGTTTTATGAAATGAACGCCATGTTCAAGATGGTCATAAATTTACCTGTTACATAGCGAGTCCAAAAGAAAATGCCCTTTTATAAAATGCAAAGTGATCTATAAGATTTTTTGCACCATCCAAGAACTGTAGCTTGCCATTTAGGTAAAACTGATCGACGTTGATTTAGCAGCCTAAGTATGGGGTCTCTTTCTCTCGTTCCTTACAACAAAGAAGGAACAGTTTAGTTTTTTTGTAGCTGGTGAGAAAACATTTAAAGTACTTTATAGCTGGTGAAATTTAGGAAATATTATTTTTATGGTAACTTAAAACAGCGCCCTGCTGTCCTCCAGTTTATAACTGTTTCCTGACTCTATGTTCATTTTACCAAACAGCATCAGGTGCAAACCTCTTTGCTCACCCTAATTCTCTAACAATATTCTTTGCCACCACACTGGCTGATAAAATATACAAAGCAAGGCAAGCTTAAACTCTGGTAATTATATTGATAGGATCTAATAAGTGTTCAGTGTTCACTATAAAAATGGTTTATCATTACCTTCTTTTAGGGTGTTTTTTCAACATTAAGGAATAGCTTATAGTCCTGGTGTTCTTCCTTTAAAATCCTAAATTCGTTTAGTTTTGTTTGGTAGACCAGATGACTAGGTACAATCAGATGCTCCACCACATATATACATCCATGCTTTAACTGTGATTTATACCTTGGCATCAGATTAATTTCAAGACAATGTTCATTTGCTAGAATTGGCCCAATCAGTTTGATTTTCCCAAGAAAAGCAATTGGTAGTTCCTCACTTTTGGAAGGTGTGGGAGGCTGAGATTCGGAGACATCGCCCTTTGAAATGACTTTTCTCTAGAGCTTAGACCTTAGCTGCTTTTTGGAGAATGCTTGGGATGGGACACCAGGTTTTGTGATGGCGAGAGAGGTTTTGTGATGGCAAGAGGGGAGGGGGGAGAATTGTGTGTTTTTAAGATTTTCATTTAAAACATGAAAATCTTAAAAACACATAATTCTTCCCCTTCTCTTTCTATCATCACAAAACCAGGTGTTCCATCCCAGACATTCAGCATAACTCTAGGTTATAAATTCACCTAGTGGCTTATTATGTTTGAGTGGCTTCTATACTCCTGCAGCACCGAGTCATGCAAGACTCTGGCAGGATAAAAAAGTATTACATAAACGAACCAACTTCATTGCAGAAATCATTTTAGCTCATTACTCTCTGTAGCAGAGACTGAAAGAGATCCAGATTTCATGAAGAGTAGCAGGAAAGCTAACTTTCTACAGCAAAATACAGATCCGAATGGTATAATTTTTGAAAGAGCAAGTCCTGCCCTTTTAGAACTGAAAAAGAAAATGGATGTAATAAAACAAGACAGAGTGCGCCACTCTGGCACTTCATTAGAAAATTGAATTGTAATTGAAATAACAGGAAAGGTTACTGAAGGTTGCAATCCAAAGTGACCTAAAACTGCCGCTTCTCAAACCAGGACAGAAGAATTAAAAAAGAAAGGTTTTCACCTTCGAAATAAATCATAGGGTGCTCTCTTCTGGAACACTGCTTCTCCTCATCTTCTTCAGCATAGTCAGGAATCCTGTGTGCCGCAGAGAGGTGAAATGTGAGAAGGAAAAGGCTCGCAAATGACAGTAGAACAGCTTTTAGTCCCGAAACAGCCATGATTGAAGATGTGCTGCAGATACGGCATCCAAATTAGGCCTCTTGAAGATACCTGAAACATTAAAGGGAAAAAAACAGGGCCTCTTACAAAAATGATACAAAATTAAATCGGCTTTACATCCTACATAGCCAGTTCTCAGGAACATTAATGCTTTACAATGATATTCAAATTCTCAGTATAGTAAACGTTTAAAAAGCAGGCTGAAGATGAGGTACAAATGCTGTAAGCTGTCGCTTCCTGAAGTTTGATGAATGAAAAGTCTTACTTTTCAATGACTCTGTATTTTGTATTATTGTTATTTGTGCTTTAAAGTCTCTCTACTTTTTAACCTTATTTACATAAATAGCGTAGGTAAGCCTCTCAATGTTGGTTTCGATTGGAGCAACATACAAGCTGTGCAAACAAATAAATAAAACACAGTTAATTTGGGGATGAGGTGAAATATATTCACTTATTCTCTGGATTCAAATTCCAAGTTGCTTATTCATTCTGTCAAAAGTGTGATATTGCTGATAGAACATTCCACTTCCTCCCTTTCAAAACTCAGTATTTTGTATCCAGAAAAAAACAACACTCTATCCAAAGACAGCATATCTATTACTATATTCACTGCAGTGTAGAATATTTGTAAGATAATTTCAGTTACTGAAGCGCTATCAAATGTGGTTTTCCTGTAAGTGATGAGCCAAACATTTCTCTATTTTAAACTCATTCCCTCATCTTTTTATAACAAAAGGGAAAAACAGAAAAACTACTTTTGGTTTAGCAGTTAAGACTAGAAACCAGGATCTGAATTCCAGTTCCAACTTAAGGCATGAAAACTGTTGGGTGACTTTGGGCCAATCTCTCAGCTTACCTCACCTTGTTGTGGGGAAAATAAGAAGATGTATCAGTATCAGTTATGTTCACCATCTTGAGTTATTTATAAAAATAATAAGGCAGGATAAACATAAATCTGTATCTGTTATTTACAACAGTATATTAATGAATGTTATTTTTGCTGGAGCAGCAGAAGAATATTGAGGTCACCATTTGTGACCCTCTAAGATACTTCCTTATTGAATTTTTAAGGATACCAGCACTTTTCACCCAGTATCAAGGACTCTAAAAATAATCTTCACTTGAATACTATCCAGGTTTTTAAAGACAATACCGGTAATTGCATGAAGACCCACTGTGGAGATTAGTGCAATTTATCTTGCAAAGTCTAGAGTTTGAGGGACTAATGCAGAAAATCAAAGGCCTATGTACAATATGAATATCCTGCCCTCACAACAGGAATCCTGCAAAGAGACAGCCATGATGGCAATTGGCAGTTTTGTCCATCAGGACAATGCGCTGTCAGCATGGAAACTGTTGTAATACTCAGGACTTTTAAGTGAAGGTTGCTAAAATAACAATGGCTTCTATGAGGTAAGTGTTGGCAAACTGATTTAAAACATGCATATAAGTGCCAGTGATGCAAGATAACATTCAGACAAAACAGTCATAAAGCAATCAACACCATTCAAACATGTCATCAGTAATGTCACAGGTGGTATTAGTAACATATATACAAGGGTATTCATCCACTGCATGAATAGGATGGCTAACTGAGAAAGGAAAAAAGAGAAAGATTTCATATCAGTTTTGCTAATAAAGAATGCCGAGAAATGGAAAATACAATCTCTCTGGATATCACCTTGTTCATTACAAGGGAGATCATTCAATCCACCATCAGGTTCTCACTTACTGTTCCAATCACAAATTATCTGGAAAAACATTCAAACTTTAATTAATCATATGCATCAAGTTTATACATCAATTAATTTAGAACAGGGCTTGATTTGAAAATAGAAATATAGCTTATCATGTTGGACGAATATAGCCAATAGTGATTTACTAAAACTATGGTTAAGCAAATTGGAATTTTCCTTAATATGAAGTCTGAACCATTATTCAATTTAACAAACTTAGCTGTGATCTACCTATTGTGATCTACAGCACTACCTACTAAGCCAAAAAGACCAATAAAAGTGATAAAATTTATACAATATTCATCTGAATATATGTGCCAGTAACAATTAGATTTCTTTTTAAAAGGCAACAAGAAATGATACTTCAGTTTTGCCATATATTCCAAATGACTTTTGCTTTTTCATTAAAAAAATTCCTATCCCTGGAGATTGTTCACCTTACTGTTATAATTATCATCATTTTGCTTTAAATAGAATTTAAAGGTGGGGAGTAACTTAGGCTATTCAAATTTTGTCCACACACCTTAATCAATGAGAAGATGTTCTCCATGTGAAGCTCTGCTGCCTCCGAAAGCGGTATCAAAGAAAATGCCTATATAACAAGGCACCACAAGAATTCAAGTCTGATGCTACCAACCACTAAAATTAAGGCAAGGAATTCCTGTGGTTTGCAGTGGGTTGCAAAGCAAGGGAGAGCAACTGTAAAATAATGGCAGTATAATAAAAAGCATCCATGAAAGAGACCTAAAACAAGACGGATCGATGACATCAGCAAGTATTGTGGGCCCAACTGGCAAAAGAAAGCTCAGGACCATATTGGTTAGAAACATGCAGAACAGGCCATCATCTTTCAGGGGATAGACAATGGCTAAAATGATGATGAATGATGATAAGGTAATAACTTGCCATCATAAGCCATCTTGACGTTTTGCTCTACTTCCAAACAGTCTAAGAACAAAGCAGGGGAAAATTGCAGGGAAAATAGGAGAAGGAAGCAGTATTGGGTATGTACATCGTCTTGAGTTATTTATAAAACAATAAAGCTGAGATAAAAATCTAATAAATAAATAAATACTCTGATCAATATAAAGATAGAGAAAAGTCAGAATGGCAAGACAAAAATGTATAGCCAAGCTAATTACCTGTTTATTTTTTTCTATATTAATTATGATCCCTTTCAGGTATGATTGAGAGCTAAACCCACCCTACAAAACCATCACTCCCATTTGCAAAAATAGGAGAACAATTAATTGCCTTATTTTCAAGCATTATTCTTTATTTTTAGAATGTTCAATCTCCTACTATTACAATAGTACCATGAATTTTGACTTTCACATACCATTTTGAAGACATATTTCCTCACCTTATTTTTTTAATCACACATCTGCTCTTCTTCATTTCCTTTCTTATATTCTTTTTATTTGCCCACAGTTATATTTATTTTAGGTAGATCTTATGAAAAATAGTCTATTTAATGTATATTGTACATGCAAGATGTTCCCTTTTATTCCCAATAGAAATAACAGACATACTTACTTATTTTTAACATACTTATGTTTACCAATAAATAAATGTCCAATTATATCCAAAAGTTTAACTAGTGGAAAACATAAAAGTTTTCACTCATTATTAAGCACATTGAATATTTTAAACCACTAATTATCAACTCAGCATTCCCTTTAATTTTCCTTCTTAATCAACACCACCACTTGTATAGATATTATTGTCATTAATTTAATTAAGGATCTATAGTTCCTTCTGAAGCAACTTTTAATGCTAATTTCTTGTATTCTTTTTAATTATTTATTTTATCTCAAACACAGAGTATCTGTATCTCATTTTTTTAATGTTAGGTTTTTGTAATCTGGGGCTGTCAAGTTTTCTTTATAATTTGTGATCTTGTACAATAGAATTTTATTCTCTATATAATTTTCTCATTCTCTCTGGAAAGAGTCTTTTTTCCCCCCATTTTGCAAACAATATCCAAACTATGTATTAATTAATTCTATCCATCTTAAAAATATAATTACAATGATCTTTAAATACTGTTCATCTATTCAGCCTTTTTCATAAAAGAACTGTAATGTTAATGGCTAGTATATGACAAATAATTTTATAAGCTTAATTATATTAATCTGAACCTGCTTTAATATATCTTTCCAACTTTACCAAAATGCTTAGATGCCTGGAGTGTGAAATCAGGATCAAATATCCAACCCAGCCAGGATCAAATATCCAACCACTTACGTTAATTCAACAAGAAAGCATAGCTTATTTATTTTAAACAACATTTTTGAAAAATATTTCTATAAAAAAGTCAAATATCTTCTCCCTTCAAGCCAAGGGCATGCCTGAATCCCAACAAAAGACTTATGGAAGACAAAAGCTGTTCCAGTCCAAACAACAGAAAAGGTTACTTCTACTTTTCTCTTATTGCCATACCTTATTTCTGTGCTATCATCAGGACAGACTGAAGAGAAATATACTGTAAAAGCATTCACACATTGGATTCCGCGGATTACACAAAATATTTGTTCCCATGGGAAACAGACACATCTAGCCCAAGACCATATTAATTCCTCAAACCTCAGAGAGTGATAACCGATCCTTCCTTTCATACACAAAACATTAAAATATTGCAAAATATTGTAAAAAGATGATTTACTTTGCTATTAATATAATTACATTCACTAATTCTCCACCAAAGTTAGTAATTCTCTCCTTTAGGACTTTGAAATTACACCAGAACACTACTCTTTCTACTTTATTTTTGTTTTAATCAATGAATGCCACTAAGTTCAGCATCTTTGGTGTTCTCAGGATTCAAAGAAAGGAAACAACATATCCCTAAAGCATTAACTTCAGGAGATTGTGGATATGAACAATGACACACTGCTGTTCTGCGGGCTCCCTGTCAAGATTCTATAGCCCACAACTTGCCAGGTCACATTGTCGTCGCGTGACATTTCACGACGTTTTCTCATTCACGTAGCTGGGGTGGGCGTGGCCTGTGTGTGACGCATCCGGCCCACTGGCCACCAGTTTGACACCCCTAGTATAGTCCATGTGTTCATTAATAATGCAGAAAGGCTAAATAAGTAATATGTTTCTGCTAACCACCATGTTTCCTTCAAGAAGCATTCCTTTAATGAGAAAAAAATCTTTATTTAAAATTAAGTTCGTGTTCTTGGGTTCAAAACATGAAGATAGGACTGTTTAATTGTCTGGTTCTGAACAACAGTTTTTGAATATGGCAGTAATTCTTTCAGGAAAGTGATTAGGTCCAACCTGCAGGTACAAACTCTTGCTATATTT